GATGAGATGGGAATCCACACCCCTCACCCCCTTGGTAAAAAAGCTGGCTACTCCTAATTTATGTAAATGTAAATTGTTTGCTACACTTTCCATAAGCATCAATATTTTAATGTACTTTTACTTGTAAGCTCATAGCACAGTAGCTTTACTGCTATTGGGTTACCCGTGGTAGGACATATTCCCAAGGAAGGCTTTATTTAGGGTATTTCAGTACTGGAAAAATGCCTAACCACCACAGGTTATCACTCATCAAAATTGATCTGCTTCGTCAGACAAATTGCTGTGAGTGGGACCTGTTGTTGGAGCATGTCTCTGTGAAGTCCATGCCACTTGTCCTATGTATTTTTTCATCTTTTGCTCTAGTATTTAATTTTGTAATGAAAAAAAGAGTGAGACTATACATAGCAGGGTTTAAAATGACGGTCAGTAACTTGCCGCGGTCATGATTACTGGCCAAATTAGTTTTAACTTGGTTACACCTCATTTCTGGCTTAACCTTACCGGTCAAAATGACTGGCAAGCCAAAGATTCAACCAGATGATTTCCAATTCTAGGGCAGACATTGTCCAACATCCAGCAGTTATTTAAAGCCCTGACATAGGTTACATTTTGCAAGATTCAAAACTATAGGTTATCTCAAAATTGTAACATAATGATGGATTAAATTTTTTTTTGTCTTGAAGGTTCTTCTCTTGATTGATGCCAGTTTTGGGTTTGAAATGGAGGTGTTTGAGTTTCTTAACATCTGTCAAGTRCATGGATTCCCTAAGATCATGGGTGTACTCACTCATTTAGACATGTTAAAGAACAACAAGTCACTGAAGAAGATTAAAAAGAGGTTAAAAGASCGCTTTTGGACTGAAGTATACCAGGTATTGTGAAATAACTGTCATGAATCTAGCTCTCTAATTGGCTGGGGTCTTCTCTCGTTCTGACAATCCCTGCCTGCTTTATAACTGCATAGGTACGAAATGTATTGTTTGTCACAGCCAAAATATCCACATTTTTTCTATCATTTCTTGTTAAAACAAAATATAAAATGCTATTTCATGTTTTTGCAGGGTGCTAAGCTTTTTTATCTTTCTGGTTTGGTTCATGGCTCATACCCTAAAGTAGAAGTTCATAATCTTGGTAGATTTATTTCTGTGATGAAGTTTAGACCACTGACTTGGAGAACCTCCCATCCATATATACTTGCTGACAGGTGCGTAAATGTATATAAA